CGAGAAAAATTGTGTGGCTCACCAAAGAGTTGCGACTTGCAAACAATTGTTTACACACCAAACTAACCACTTTGCGTGAGTGCAGACAAGACAATTAAGTCGGGATGAAGTGAAGTGAAGTGAACCTGTCATCCAACATGGCTTTCTCTCGAGTGCCCCTAATCGCTGGACACTCTGGAATCAGCAACCAAACCTAAACGAAAATAGTAAAGGAAGGCACTGGAATATGAACACGTCCCTTTCCCAGTTCTCATTCTTCAGAAGTCCGTCCGTCGGTTTCAGTTGATTATGGGTGGTTATGAGAATGCTTTAAGATTCTGGGGACTTCTAGCAACCCGCTTTAGGCTGTTTGATACTGGTACATTCATGGATCTGAGGTTGTTCGTTGCAAGAACAACGCTGGCTGGTGCTGGGGTGTTGCCCTGTAACCTGCTGATTGCAGGAGCGTGAGGCCTGGTAGAGAGATCTGGGGATGCTTTGGGGTGGGCATTCCAAGGGACAACCAAGGGTTGCTGTTGGGACGACGCTGGCTGGAGCTGGGGTGAGTCGTGTTGCTCTGTAACCTAGCCGGGTGGGGGTGTGAGGCCTGGGAGAGCTCGACAGGGAATAAGACAGTGTTGGACAGTTTTAGAGAGTTTTGTTTGGGAGTCTAGGGGTTCTGAGCATTCAAAAAGAAGTCATTCATAGTTTCCCAACCTCTTCTTTAATTTCTTGAATTCCCTCAATAGTTCTCAGATTGATTCTTAGCCGAAGCCGGGCAAAGGCCCCGGTATCTCAAATGACTTGTGTAACTCTATATGGGACGCTGGACCCGGTTCCCAGCACGTGCTACTCCCACGAATAGACTGAAGCATTTGTCCCCTCAAAAAGGATTATCCAAAAAAAAAAAGATTATCTAAAAAAGATTATCCAAAAGATTATCCACGGATATTAATGCATCATTTCCAGATTACCAGGGAAATCAGTATCAGATGTGTCTTGGGTCGTTCGTGCGGTTGTGGAATTCTTTTTCTTTTTCTTTTCTTTTCTTCTTGTGTTTTTTTTTTTTTTTTTTTTTTTTTTTTTTTTTTTTTTTTTTAAGCCTTGGCTTTCTACTAGAAGGGGTGATATGAGCAGGCAGTCCCCGATACCAATAGTAGCCACCTGCAATTCGAAAAATGCCAAAAAAGAATAAACGCGGGAGGAGTTAGGAAGCCACAGATCCTGGCCCTTTCTCAACGCACACTCATACCTTCCGCTATGACAAGAATCCCACAGGAGAGTTAAACCACCAGTACTTGGCCCAGCTATCGGCCGCGGAAAAAGAAAGAGTAGAAACGTTTCTAGTCGGATGAATTTGAGCCCTCCTGTAGTACCCCGTATGTTTCCTAAAATCGTGGCGCGTTAACGGGCACGACTCGAGGAAGTACTGGTGGTTTAAACCACTAGTACACGGCCCCAGCCTTGCACAGTCCGAAACTTGTCGCCACTAGAAACCGGGGCCAAAACGTCGAAACACTGGGCCTGCCTGCCGTTGATAAATTGGATTGGCGGTCGCGTTTTCGTTCGGCGCTTCCAGAATTCGAGGTGTCAGCCCCGCGGCCCAGGTGCCCGTGTGCTGGTGCTTCAGACACATGTCAACAAACAAAAGAACAACAAAAAAAAACAAAAAAAAAACAAAAAACAATAACAGAAACAACGTGCAAAGTCCATACAAAAGTTCTTCGAACGGCATACCCCAACCAAAACTACCTTCTTCACCACCCCAATACAACGTCTCATATTTGTTGCTGTATCTAGACTGAAAGATACCCCAAATACAAGCCATAATGACCGTGCGTTGTATTTGAGCCAACGAATGTACGTAATGGCATGCCCTGACCAAAACTTGTGACAGAGCGCGTTGTGGACCAGGTGTTACTGACTGTGCAACAGAAAGAGCATGTGCGCATGTGGTGAACTGCATGCGTAAAGCATGGGTGCATGTGTTGCAGTCTTGGCTACACACAAACAACTCCACACACACACACACACACACACACACACACACACACACACACACACACACACACAAAGAAAAAAGCAAAAAAAGCAGGTCGACTGTACTTGAACAGGATCTGTTCCTTAGGTGCCCATTTTCGGAGCAAACAGACGGGAAAACAGCGGAAAAAGGTGCAGCGCCGAGAAAGGGACACGTGGCGAAAAAGCTCAATTAGTACACAACCATGAACTGTTGAAATACAGACATGAGCTCGAATCCAGGTGAAACTACTGTAGTTGAGTGAATTTCTGAGTTACCTGAGGGCCGGTCAGTTCTATGACGATAGCTCAAGGGCGTCGCCCTTCTGGAAAAAAAACGAAAAAAAAGGAGGAAGAAGGGGAAAAAAGGATCTGTTGATTCTAATCCTTAGGCGGTACACTCTTCTGTATCTATGAAAAGATCAAAGAAAAGGGAAAAAAAAAAAAAGGAAACTGCTGCTGGCACGGTGCACGATGCAGCTCTTGCAAGTATGTGCCGGACTGTTTCATTGGACTTTCACCAACTCATCAGGAATGTGTTGTGATGTTCGCTATACACAACTCCACAAAAAAAAGGATGACTGCGCCAGACTGTTCCAGGAGAGAGTGTGTGTGTGTGTGTGTGTGAAAGAGGAACCAGACTGACGCTCCCCAGAATAGAATGGACCCAGTCCGTATGGACCTCATTTGAATCTATTGAAAAGGATAGAAGGAAAAAGTTGCAACTCTTCTTCCCCTGTCCATCATAAAAGAGGAAGCCCCCACCCACCCACCACCACCAAAAAAAAAACAGAAGAAGGAGAAGAAGAAGAGGTCGCCGATGAAAGCTGGGAAGAATACATTATCTCATGTGCAAGTGATGATACCGTCTTCCTTCCCAGCTGAATCAAAGGAGCAGTCACTGGAGCAACTCTCTGTTGATAACCACCGGGCGCTCTTCTCAGGTGACGACAGTAGTCGAACGGGGATCTGAATAGGAGACGAGTCTTTGCCATGGCCGGAAAGCAGAACGCCCTTGCAAGGCTGGCTTAGGCTGCACTTGTGATTGGGACAATGCACAGAATCAACTCGAACACTTTGGACCCAGCAACATTATTTCTGAGCTTGCTCACATTTCACAGGGAACTGAAAGCACAGGGATTCCCAAGCCACATGTTCATACAAGCAGCGAGAAAGGTGGCACCGACGGTGGGAGGGAGGGTATGGCCCGAGCTGCGCACGTACCTGGAAGATTTGTACGGGATCAGGTACAGAAGGACGATATCGGGATCAGTCGCCAGAGTCTGAATCCACAGCAGCAATCTCGCAGATCGAGAAGGAAGCACTCCGAGTACGGTCGCCACACATGAGCATCGACACGAATATGATTTTCCAAGCATCGAGAACCAGTCATGCACTGACTCGAAAGGACAAAATAGCTGATGCAGGCCCGGGCCCCAAGCGAGTAGCCGCACCACGTTTTTCAGCGGACATGTACGTGGTCACAATTTTGGGACGTATTCATTTTGAAAGTTCAAAGGTACTGGCCCGCTAAGGAACAGCGGGAAATAGTAAGTCCAGAATACATACCGAGCCCCAGGCGGGTAACTTCACCACGTTTTTCAAAGACGTGGATGCAGACACAGTCTCGGGGCGATTTATTATTTTTCTCTCTCGGACTAGGTACTGACTGACCTCCAGTAAAAAGCGGGAATTGGAGCCACGTGTAGCTCGGAATGGGAAACACGGCACGAGTCCAGTAAGGAAATGACGAGTATAAAGTAAACGTCGGGCGGAGGCCTGACCACCAGTCTTAGTGGAACGGAGTAGACGGACTGTGATGGCGTGATTGTTATGCGCCTACTCCAATGTAATTTGTTCCGCGATAATAAAGCTCCAGATTAAATTGTTTTGCGATCTCTCTCAAGGCTGCACGAGGGAACGACGACACTGATGACAGTAGAGAGAAAAGCCCAGGCCGTAGGGAAGGAGAAATCCTCCCCAGACAGATGGGAGGAGCTGAGATGTACCAGCAAGCACCACAGATGGGCAGACGGGATGTGTGCAGGAGACCATGGGGTCGAAACTCACAAGGCTCTAACTCAGGGCGGGAACCAGAGAGTCCTTCACACATGGGGAGAAGCCTGAACTTGAAGTCGTCGGCAGTTTGCACATTCCTAAGCTGAGGAAAGCCTAGGAAGTGCATAAGGAGGCAGACCAGTCGATGATAATATGGATGATAAATTGGTCACGAACGCCATAGCCTCTGTGTATATCAGCTATAGGTGTTCCTTACTGTGCTTCGCGGAAAGCACATCGTCGTTGTCGTCCAGACGACGCAATCGAGAATCAAAGAGCCCTGCTGGTTCCATTGGGAATGACGTGTCTGACTCCTTTGACTTCTTTTTTTTTTTTTTTTTTTTTTTGCACACATCATTGATAACCGATGACGGGGAAGCTGGACTGCAATCAACGTGAGGGAACGATCGATGAAGGAAATCAGTTCTATGATGTGGGAGCATACATCTACAAATGAAGCCAAACACTGACAGACAATCGCAAACAATGCTCGAGTCTACAACAAGACAGCCGGATGGGCAGACCCCGATGGCACTGCTGAGGGGGCATCATTGAGAGGCATGCCTTTGTGCAAATGCTCGCAGAAAGGACAGCGAGAAGGGATGGTTTACCATAGTTGAGGCTGTGTGTATGCTCTCACATTCCACGCGTAGGGAGCCCGCATACACGATGAGACATTCTGTGTGGCAAATAGACAGCATGGGAAGAGACTGTGTGACAGAATAGACAGCAGGGAATTGCTGAAGCCTACCGGCTGCCGTGCTTGCAGAGAGTCTCTCCGATATCGCATGCCCACTGCCCTGGACTAAGAATTGTGAGGTTGTAGGCTTGTAGAATCTATGGTTCAATGAAAGGATCAAATGAAAGGATCGAATGAAAGGATCGAATGAAAGGATCGAATGAAGGATCAAATGAAAGGATCAAATGAAAGGATCAAATGAAAGGATCAAAATCTCCGACCCAGAGTACCTTAGTAGCTTTCCTCGTACTCAATATCTCCTGTTGTCAGGTAGTAGTGCAGCCCGTTCCTCACCAGATGCTCCATTGGCAGGCTCAGCGTCACACCATTGTAGGACACAAAGAATTTGTCTTTTGCAACAAATCCCTCCGTGTTGATTTCCGCCGACTCCACCTTGATGCCAATGTTGTCCAGAACTCTGATTATCTCCAACAACAGTCCAGGACGGTCTGCAGTTTCGACGAACAGAAGGCTCCGCTCCCCGTCCTTGTCGGCCTCCACATGGATGTGTGTCCTGATGTTAGGATTTACCCTGTGCTTCTTCGATTGCCCCTTGGCTACCCCCATTGCCAGGACATCCCTCGATTCCGGATGATTTTGCAGCAAGTGGTTGATGATGACCAAGCGAATCTGTTCCAACACCTCGGGGTCTTCAACCTTTCCCCCTTCCGACTTCGTTACGTAGAAACAATTCACCCCCCTCTCCTCGACGGACATCGTTCCCTTGACGACAACCAGATCGAGATCCTTCAACGCTTTCATCATTTCCAACGACGCTTCGAGCCGCTCACCAAACTGGAAACTGACAACTGTGGCGTTCGCTTCCGAATGTTGATCGATATGCACAAGCGGTGTCGGCACATCCTCATCCTGATAGTACAACCTCTCCGGACCGCCTCCAAACGCTTTCGTCGCAGTCCGCCCGCTGCCCTCTGCGCTGGCCTTGCATCGGCAAGCATGTAAACTGCACAGCATCCGACTCCTCTTGTTCCTGCTGAGGTCCTGGTCCACACGCTGACCCAGGAACTGCCCATGCGCCTCACATGACCTGCTGCTCCTCGAGTTTTGCGAAACAACAAAGCGCTCACTTGACAAATGGAGTGATTTTTTTTTCTCAACCCCGAATTGGGCAGGGAGTATAGATCCCGGGTTCAAACCCTCGCAAATGGCAGCTCCACCCTGTCCTCCAACTCCGTACGATTGCAATGTTCGCTTACCATTTCCTAGCAGGGATGCTGACGCGAGGACACTCTCGCAACTGCAGACCACCAAGGCCCTCTTCACACCTGCTGCTGCCATCGGCGACATTGCTGCACCCGTAGTATAGATCTCGGGTTCGAACCCTCTTCACACGAATGCCCTTTTCACAACTGCAAACCAATGCAGACCCGAGCTTACCCACCACCTCTCCTTCACAATCAAACTGTTGTTGTGTGTCGACCTTGCCAGCGCCACCTGTCCCTTCCCAATCTTGTAAAGCCAGCGCTTGATTTGCATTTCTCGCCCCACGACCACCCCCGGTCCCCCCTACCCCCCCCTCCCCCCCCCTGTGGCCACCACCACACACACACACACAGTTGATCATGCGCTCACGGTTGTCGGCCAGTGCTGGTCACAGGGCCGTGCTACTACTTGCAGCCGCGCGCGGTTGGTTGGTCTGACAACTGCTTCACAGCTTGTCGAAATGACATCACACTCCAAACTCAATTGGATGGCTGCTAGTCAGGACTCTTGGCCAGAGCTCGAGCATAATCTACTCCCGATGATCTTCTTTGCCAATCAATTCCAATCATTGAGACTGGTTAGATATCGGCCCTAAATCGCTGCTTCGAACTCTCACAGATTCACTTTCACTCGTGTTGATATCATATTCTTTGAATTTCTTTTGCTTCGTTCCTCGACCTGGACGCTGAAGAAAGATGCAACAGAAGGCAAGGAGTATTTCGCAAAGGGTGAAAGCAAGTTGCACCTTTCTTCAGTGTCCCGGCCCGCTCGATATTCAAGTGCACCAGCGATCAGAAAGTATGCCCATTGTGGGATTATCTTGGCATGCATCTGACATGGATCACGTCTAGGTGCAGAAAGTTGCCACATGATAGAGTAACTGCTTTGAGCGTGTTGCATCCAAGTTTCAACTTTCAAGACAGACCTCGTGCAACTTGCTGACAAACAACACGTTATTTATTTTAATTATTTTAATTACTTATTTTAATATTTTCATTATTTTGATCATATATCATATTATCAACAACTGGACTTGTGAAAATTTTTTTTTACAAAAAACCATGGTTGTTAACCGGACATCCAGATCGGGATCCCGACGGTCCGGTCTGGATGTCCGGATCCGGTGTCCGGTTTGGGGGGTCCAGTTGGGCCTCATTTCCAGAAAATTCGGCTTTTTTTTGGGGGGTCCCCAGGCAATTTTCCACTGCCTGGTGGAACCCCGAAAATTGTTGGTGCAGTTTGTGGTGGACCGTTGGGCCAACCGGACTCGGCCTGAAGGGCCTGTACTTGCAATCTTGGGTGAGCGTCAGCGGGCCAAGGAGAACTGGTTGTGTGTGCTTGTGTGTGTGTGTGTGTGTGTGTGTGTAACACTGTGTGTGTATGTGAGTGTATTCAAGATAAGTAGGATAATACAACTACAGCAGTGTGTATCTGTTTTTTTTTTTTTTTTTTAATTAATTAATTAATATCATAACCGGACCGTCCGGGTCCGTATGTCCAGTTGTCCGGATCAGTGTCCGGGTTACCGGACATCCGGATTAGTCCAGACACAGGTCCAGGCCCGGTGTCCGGTGATCTGGATGTCCGGGTCCGAGGCAACCGTGGAAAAAACTTAGTCACGACTTAATGATCATTCCCTTTTTTTATTTTTTATTTTTTTTCAAGTTAATATCAACTTATATCTAGAGTCTAGACAAGACAAATAGAGAGAGAGCCAGAGCTTGTGCGACTCGCTAGCATACATTATTTGAATTTATTTTCTTTTTCACTGTATTTTTGCCACAGAACTTGTGCAACTTGCTGACACACATTGTTCTAATTATTCGAATTATTTCAATCATTTCAACTGTTAAACTCACTTAATATTGCACCAATTGCTTTATTTTCTAAACAAAATTATCAATTTAGTGCGAGGCCACAGCCCGCCCCGAGCATCCTGGGCCTCTCAGCAAGGATGGCCGCCCTAAGTGACGGCGGCCTATAAAATCACATAAGGCCTGTTTCGTCTTTTTTCGTAAAGTGGGGCTCAGACAGTGATGCTGAGTCAGTTGGTTGAATGGACCCAGCCGAGGGCTTCTAGGCCCTTCCTATGTTTCTGAGCACAGGCCCTGGGGCAGACACGGAGCACAAACTGCACGCAGCACGCTGGGGAGTTAGACACGTTTAACCACCCGGGGCCCTGTGGAATATTCGGGCCTCCGGCACTTGGCGCCTACCAGAAGCTTCTGGGCAGGGGCCCAGTGCAGCCAGACAGCATGCAGCAGGCAGGCCACTTCCATAAAGGAAAGTGCCTGCCTCCGCATTTGGCATCCGGGCACTCGCTGCTTATGCGCAAGTGCTGCTGCGCCAGCTGCTGGAGCGAGTGCCTACGCGCTCACGGGCGAGCAGGGAAGAAGCAGGCAGCCATAGCCAAGCTCGCCTGCGCATTGCTGGATGGGGCGCATGGTGGTCCTTGGGTTCACGTGGCATCTGTGTGGGGGATCGAGGTTGTGAGTGAAGCATGAGACATACCTGGTGCTTGAGGCGAACGGCATTGGCCGAGATCTGCTCGTACTTCGGGAAGCTGTTGACGTCACCAGCCGCACTGTAAATAGGCTAGATGGGATCTGCCGTTCGTAGTCTGGGTGCTGAGCGCCAGATAGGGATTCGACATTGGTTCATTGTTGATGATGATGAGACTATTCCTTTTTTTTTTTTTTTACCTGGGGAGAGGCTCCATCTATTGGTGGGGAGCATCACCTGCTGGAAAACGGGTCCAGCGTCCCATATACAGAAAGAATTTAGAATGTATAAGGAAGAAAAATAAGGGGCTCCTGCCACCATTGGTTACCCTAGAATCCAGGGGATTGACTGAGCAGGCTATTAGGAAAGGGGAGTAAACCTCTTCGCCCTGAAACGGGCGCCAGATACCTACTACTACAAACTAGTCCCTCTCCCTCCCCTCCTACCCGTTTAGTACCAAAACTTTCTTTTTTGAACTAGTGTTATGCAGAGTCCATTCCGTACCACTTCATTTCCACTAGACAATTAGATGGGGGGGGGAAGAAGTCCGGGAATTCTTCAGGGGGTTTCAATGGGATCGCTGCATCCACTTTGGTCCATTCGTGGAACCTCAATTGATAATCTCTTACTAACTCCATTCCTCGTCGGTCCTCCCCTGGTGTTGTGTATCCTCCATTCCATTCCACCATTCCTATCCTCCCTCCGTTTGCACCCCCAAGCCAGCTTGAGCTAAATTCCTGGATTTTTTGTTTGATGTCTTTTCGCCTGTCCAGGAGTTGGATTTGTGCTCTGACTCCATTCCATTTTGCAGTTATTTCTGTCTGGATCTGTTGCTGGACACTTTCTGTGAATTCGGGTCCTTCCAATCTCGCCCCCTCCATCTCGAAGGTGCAGCGTCGTATCCAAAGTGCCCAGAGAATCGCCCGTCGTCCTATCCTGAAGATATTTCCACTGAATTTGTCTATCTGGTCTATCTGGTCCTTGGGCCAGGCTTCACACAACAAGGCTTTCCAGTCCCAGGGCCACTGGGCCTTTGTTCCTAGTTGTTCCCACACCCTGTCCCACCATCTCCATAGCCAGAGTGCACCCGGACATTGGAGGAATACATGTTCAATTGTTTCAGGCCGTCTCCGGGAAGGGAACGCATTTGTGCACAACTTGCACCATGGGAGAGCTCGCCCTTTTTGTTCCAGAGACGTTCTATCTATCAACCAGTTGTTTGTTGGAAGACAGCGGTGCTTTAGCTGCCATTGAAGTGAGGCCAGTTTGGCTGGCTTTGCCTTGGCCATCCTTAACCATCTAATTGGTCTCAACTCCTCTTTGTTGATGTTCAGGTGGTCTCTCCACCGCGCCTCCACCTGGTCCCGCAGAGCAGCTTTTGGTCTTAGGAGCTTGTAGGCTGCTTTGACTGTTAAGGCATATATGGCCTTGGTGAATTTCTTACCCTGGCTTCCTTGGGCCGACCATGACCACTCCAACGGGTCCAGGGCTAGATGATGAATAGGGGTACCGGGGTAGTAGGCTATCCATTGCTCATTTTCATGGAGTACTCTGGTTCTATATACCTCTTCTATTTGACATGTTAACGCTTCATCTGGTGAGCTTTCTTGGATGACATTATCTTGCCTCACTGGAGAGAGTTGCACCACTACCGTTCCATCCGGGAAGCAGCGGACCACCCTGCCCACACATCCTTGCCGGTTTCTAATGGCTACCCAGTCCGATTCTTGCAAGGTCGGACCCTTACGAAGTATTCTCCACCATGCTAGTGGGATCATTTCTATCAGCGTTTCCAGGGCTTCGTATGGTTGGTGGCAATACCGCAGTCTCTCTCGTAGCTGGTCGGGTCCTATCCAGTCCTTTTTATGAGTGTCCCATATATCCTTTATCCTTATTATCCCTCTCTTGACCCAACTCTGCCAGGGGGGATCCGTGCAAAGGAGCATCTGGCCCTTCGAGTCCACCACCCATCTGTTTCCAAAAAGGGGTTGGCGTGCTACCTCCTCCCATCTTTCTGGCGCTGTCCTGTCTGGAAGGGGGAGACTTCTCCATGTTTTGAGGAGGGTGGGCCAGAAGGGATCATTTCGTAGGTTGGCCCTGATTGCTTGCCTGGGGCAGTCAGGACGGGGGTCCCTTTGTTGCGATCTCGCTCCTGGAATGGGCCATCCCCTGTTTTCCAATCATGTTAGTGGGTCGGTTTCAGCCAGTGTTTGTGGTGCTAGCCTGAAGATTTGTTCCAGGGCTAATCCTCTCCAGGGGACATCAGGATTAAACGGAAGNCAGCCAGTGTTTGTGGTGCTAGCCTGAAGATTTGTTCCAGGGCTAATCCTCTCCAGGGGACATCAGGATTAAACGGAAGGCTTTTAAGCCATTGACAAGGGTACCTGTTGTGGCTTCGCTCGCAAGGGATTGAGGGGGAAATGGGAGAAATGAGTCGGGTGGTGGGTTCGGCGGGTTTTGGGGTGGTGGGTTTGGTGGGTTTTGGGGTGGTGGTCGGGGGTGTTTTTAGACTCATGGTCCAGTGGGGAGTTGTGCCCTAACAACTATGACAATGTGCGTGCAGCACCTCCTGCTAGTTGGGGAGGTTCTGCAACAGCTGGCTTTGGAAATCGGCATGCTACTGTCTTCCCCCGACTCTAGACTG